TGCCTGGCCCTGGGCGGGGCGTAGGCCACAGAAGGAGTGGCACGCTGTCCCTACCGTATGGTACAGGCACCACCGTGGTTGCCAGTTGATCAGATAGTTCGCCCTCTGCAACCCTGTCGGTGGGCGTGTCTGTCGCCCCTAAGAATCAAGAAGCATGTTCTAATGATGGCCTTTGGAGTCCTCAAAGAAAGGATTCTTCGAGTCCAATCCATGTGGGTGTTGACTGATTTGTATTAAACTCTAACTATTTGAAAATCTATTTTGTCCATTCGAGGAGAATTCTTTTCCCACCTATACTGCTACTGAACAGAGCATTCAATTCACCGGAACAGTCAACATCCCAGCTACGCTAGATGCCCGTGTCCACTATGCTCCGAGGGCCCTAACGGAGCCCTGGGGTGGGAGTCAGGAGACCTGGTTCTTGTCCCACCTCAACCTGTGACTCACCTGGTGGCTGGGACAAGTCACTTCCCCTCTCTGGACCTCAGTTACCCCATCTGTAAAATAGGGGGAGGGGACTGGGACTAGTTTGTCTCTAAGGGCTCATCCAGCCTAGTCTAGGAGCCTAGTAAATGCACCTGTGCCACGTAACATGACTCAGTGGTGCTGGGGGGACTAACTGTTGGTGACATTCACCTTTCACTTGTCTATAGGAACACTCCCTCCTCTCTTCTCTCCACCCTCCCCCACCAACCTCTCTCTCTCTGCCAGCTGCCCTCTCTCATTCTCCTGCTTTCCAGGTTCTCTTTTGCCTTGTCTGTCTTTCCCTCACTCATGTCTGAGGACTTATGGAAACGCCTGACAGCTCTGCTCAGCCCCTCCAGGGCATTCTGGGCTGGAAAGGTCTCTGGCCCGTAACACTACACGGAACTGTTTGTAGAAGCTTCCGTGGGATGTCCCACAACCAGCAGGCAAGATTGGTGCAAACTGGCCCACGGACTGTGAAGCCAGGGGAAGTGACGATGACAGTGCGAGAACACTTCTCACCTCTCCGTGCCCCTGCCCAGATACAGACACACACACAATGAGAAGGGTCGGGGTGGGCCTCAGATGGCTCATCTCAGATGATTCATGGACTCAGGACGTCAGGTAGGAGAGAGGCTTAAAGGTCATGTGAGATGGGAGTTCCCAGCCTGGGGCTTCTGGGGCCTGTAAGACCTTTAAAAGCCACAGTGGATCCATATGCTTTTCCCCAATACCTCAGAAAGCCTACCAGGAACTACTCATCTTTAAGCAGATAAAGATTTAACTAAAATGCCCAGATTCTTTACTTGTTTTCCCTGTAAGTTTACAGATGATAAGCCTGTTGTTCAGGAGCTCTAGTTGGCAACTCTGAATCTCTCTGGTTCCTAGACTTTCTCTAAGGGGTTAGGGGCTTTCAGTTCTTGTGCTTTAGGGGGCTGTGGAGATTATTTTTTCAGTAACATAATCTCATCCAAAGTTATCATTTAATGGAGACGTTCAGAGCTCGGACAGGTCAAGGTACTTTCCCAAGATCACACAGCAAGTCAGAGACAGAACTTGTGAATTTCCAAGCTAGGATGTCACTGTAGGGGAAGGGGCCAGGATTCATTAAAGAGGGACAGAATAGATGCATATAGATTCCACTTTAAACTCCTCCTACGCTTTGGAACCAGTCCTGGTATTACCCCCATTTGCCAGATTAGACAACCGAGGCACAAAGAGATTGTGTAAATGTACCCCAGGTCACACAGGTATCTAGGACTAGAATCCAGGTCTCCTGAATCTTAAGCCAGTGGTCCTCCCTCTTATGTCAAAACAAGATGGCAGGATAAGACTAGAACAGCTGCTTGACCCTGCCCCTCCTGCCTGAGGACCCCCCCACCGCATCATGCCCAGCCAGGACGACCGGCCACGGCCTGGCTGGCCTCCACTCAGCAGAGCTGGCCTGTGTTTAGGGCTGCTTACCTGTGTGCTGGAGGGCCCCACAGCACGCCGAGGCACCTTGATGTCAAATCCGCCTTTGGGATCCTTCTCCCCTCTCAAGCATGGGTCATTGGGGGGCTCTCGACCCCCCTCCCAGTCACAGATGGTTTTTCGAATGGCCTGCAGGACACTGGGAAAGAAAGGCCTGAGGCTCAGACCAAGTTTCACCATTGGAAGGGGGTAAACAATACAAGCCTGTTTCTAGAGTCTGTGGTGTCCCAGCAGCACTTGTGAAATGTGCTCATCCCCGGCCCCACCCCCAGAGATGCAGGTTGAAGAGACAGGTGGTGTCATCTAGAAGTCTACATTTTACAACTTGCATTTTACACCCCGGGTGATTCTGACACCCACTGGCTCTCTGAGAACTCAGCTCCGAGCCTGCACAGTGGGGCAGAAGTTGAGTGAGGCAGGACAGATAGTTCTCCTTTTGGTTATCAGAGAGTCTCAGTCCTATTTAAACTCTTTATACTTAAAGTTCTAATAATCATTTACATTTATCGTTTACTTACTCCATGCTGCTGTGTGCCTAGGTGTACACATGGATTATCTCATTTTATCATCCCAACAGCCTGTGGAGTAGGTGCCATTGTCATCCACATTTTACAAATAAAATTGAGGTTCAAAGAGGGTAAGTAATTTGACTAAGTTCGCATAGCTAGACAGTGGTGGATACGGGCTTCAAACCCAGAGACTGAGGACGAATTTATCTCAAACGCCCAATCTCCTACGGCCTCCTAAATCTTGCTGCACCTTGCTGGGAGGGTCCGTGTGTTCAGAGGCTGCCCTGGAAGCCGCCTGGACAGGGAACTTCCTCTGTGGCCTGTACCTCGCACCCCCGATTTTTGATATGTCCCTGAAAAGGGCCACCGAAAACCCACCTGATAAGGACGTTCTTCTTCTTCCGCACCGCCTGCCGCAAGGGCTCACGCAGTGTCACCTGAGCGAAGTCCTGCAGAGCCGCGTAGATGGTGTTCCTTATGGCCTGGTTGAAGACGCTCTCCATCCTGCCCATGAGCACCTGCAGGCCTTTGATCATGGCGATCACCTGGCCAAGCACAGATCCAGGTCAGGTTCATCATGCCCTCTCGGCTCACCTGTCTGTCCAGCACCCTTCACCACATCACAGGGAGGGTGCCGTGTGAGGCGTCCAGAAGCACAAGGCTAACCAGTGCCACTCAAAATGCCAGTTCACAGCGAGATAAGCAACGTGTGCCAGAACAGAAATCAGCACCCTGCTTCCTTCAGCGAGAAAGTCCCGCCACAAAGCAAAGGTGCCAGCCGAACTGAACAGCACCCTTGGTGCAGTTGAGTTTTCACTCCAGCACCAGCTCCCTGTCTTGTCGCTGACTGATGACAAATGGCAACCGGTCCGTGGACTACGTTTGGAGTACCAGTCTGACCTCTGCAGGCCTCTCCACATAGCATGCATCTACAGACCATAGCAAATAGAACCTTTTCCTATAAGAAGTTTGAAAGAATTTTTACAATCTTTGCTTTTGAAATAATTTGGCTAGTTGCTACTTAAGTCCATAAAATAGGATTCCTGTAGAGGTCATGGGTGGCATCTGCCCCTCTAGCTGCCTCCTCCCCCACCCCTCAACTCACTTGTCTGTCTGCAGAGGTGAGGAGACAAGTGTCTGTGATGCGTATAGCCTGACCTCAGCATTCTATCTTGGGATCTGTCTGCCTGCGGGACGTGCGCCTTCTCCACTGGGTTCCCGTCTTCTCTTAATCATCCCCTCCCCATCCCCAGCAAGGGAGGCATGTATTTCTGCAGCTGCTCTGCCTGTTTCCCAGCAGGTAGGTTGAATGGGATGGGGGAGAAGGAGGAAGTCTCGTGTGGCCTTGGGTGGAAGCCACATTCTCTGGCCCAGCTGTACCAGCAACAAACCTGATCGTTTGACCTCCATCAGCCTCCAGTGCTAATTCCTAGATTGGTTCAGAATTCACGAGGGAAAGCATGGGCCACATCAGCTTCCTAGCAACTGCCACGCCCATCTGACGTGTTCGACTTTTTCCCCGCTGCACCAGACTGTAGGCACTTCAGGGGCACAGCTCAGCCATGCTGCGCGCACCTCATGCCCAGGGCCTGGGCCCATGGTGGGTCATCGAGAAATTTTTGTTGAAATTGGCAGTTACAAAATAGGCATGGAGATACAAAGCATAGCATAAGGACTATGGCCAATAATATTGTAATAACTATGTATGGTATCAGAGGGGTACTAGATTTATTGGGGTGATCACTTTGTGAGTTATATAGATGTCTAATCACTATGCTGTGCACCTGAAACTAATATAATATTGTATGCCACAACTATAACTGAAAAACGAAATAAAATATTATTTAAAAAAAGAAATTTTTGTTGAAAGGGAATGAATAAATAAACAAATGAGCTGAGGTAATAAGCCTTGTCCTTTCTCTAAACCTTGAAGGACGAAAAAGAACATTTGAGGTAGGGAAAATGGTAAGAACATAGTTTAAGACGTGAGGATTTTCACTGGAACCTACAAGTATAATGGTTTTGTTGGAGAGAAGCTTTAGTGTAGAGAAATACATAACAGGACAGAAGCCTTAAAGGAACATTACATCATAAAAGAATCTGAGCTCCAGGCTAGAGATGTAACCAGGAAATAATGAACCAGAGGAAGGAATAGATAATGAAGATGTTTCAGAATAACTCTAAACGTAGTAAACTGATGTTAGATCTAGGGGAAAATCTCTGCAACTTTGGGCCAGGCAGAGATTTCTTAGCTAGAACACAAAAATCTCAAGCCACAAAATAACTGATAAGTAGGATTCTATCAAAATTAAAAACAGTTGCTCTTCAAAAGGCACCCCCAAGAAAATGAAAGGGCCAAGTCACCAATTAGGAAAAATATTTGCAACATATAGATGACTAAGGACTTGTATCTAGAATATATAAAGAATTCTCACAACTGTTAGCTCTACCAAAAACAAAAGTTGTACAAAAAATGTGTTCACATTAGACTAGGTGATTCAGCAATAAACAATAGGTACTTGGTTACAATAGCATAGAGCAATTATTAATTTAACCAAAAAGTATGAAATTACCACTTTGGGAAGATGGAGGAAGGAAACTGGGTTTTCTTTTTTCTTTTTGGGGGGGCGGGGGAGAGTAGAGATGAGAGAGCTAAATTGCTATCTCCCAAAGTAGGAAATAATAGAAAATGCCCCAAACCAAAAACTCTATAGAAGACACAGCTCATCAGGGTGAAAGGTGTTCTCCTATTTTGGGATTCAGGGAGGAGTGTGGTGATACAAGTCACTTGTAAAATGCCACATAGAACTCTTTTTCTAAAAAAATTTTTTTATGTCTTACTGATAAAATAAAAATGATCCTCTCCATGCAAAGCAAAGTAAGACCAGAAGGAAATATAGAAAATGGTGGTCATCTTTGGATGATCTGATGAGGCTGTGGGAGGTGAGGGTAAAGGTGGGGTTGGGAGGGGCATTTATAAATGACCCACAGTGCATATGTGTTCCTTTTATTCAGGAAAGGTGTGAGCAGTTTTACAAAGTTGCATATCCCCTCCGACTGTAAGTCTCATTTTACACAGGCTTGCAGAGGACTTTCTCTTCCAGTGATGAAGACTGGGAGACGGTCTTCCAAGCTGATTATTAGCAGTGGAAGTGCCCGAGGCCAGGGGAGCACTCAGCACAACGCCAAAAGTGAGGACAATTGGTCTCTTGCCTGAAATTACACCCCTGAGCCTGGGTGTTTTAAAGTGCAGCCTGGAGATCCACTAAAGAACAACTTGAACCCCTGTACGTGTCTGACCCTTTGCAGCCTTCACAGCTCACTGATGCCATTATCTTCTTTGACGATTACTGTCTGATTCTCAACAATAACCCTGGGACTGAAGTAGGTAGAGATTACCAGCTCTGCTTCACAGAGAAGGAAGCTGAGGCTCAGAGAGAAGAAGTGGCCTTGGGCCCAAGTTCAGTATCCAGGCCTCTCTGACTTGTAGGCTTCAGAATGGCATGTTAAGAGGTAGCTGTCACTCATGACTTAGTGTGAAGGAGTTTCCCCTCCCCCAAAAGAGAAATATCTTTTTGTAATGAAACAAACTAACAACAGCAGCAATAGTAAGTTATAAAGCAGGAAGTAAGAGTCTCTTCTCCAGAAATTACCACTGTTAATGGTTGTGAATATGTCAATATAAGTACTTATGTTCTTTAGTTTTGAGCAAATACTCAAAAGTATATTAATTTTAATCTAAATGGAATAATTTTACATGTTGTTTTAATCTTTTT